GACTAAAGTTTTGACAGTTTGGGTTCTTCTAAGTGAAAACTCATGTCCAGATAAATTTCTCCAAACTGTAATGTTAATTAACACTCTATCTGCTTCCATTTGTCTTCTGCCCATTCACATTCATCCAGTTTTAAGCTCTCGCAAAAATGACTATGTGAGTCATTTTAACCGACCGATCGATCGATCAATCGGTCGGTCGGTCGGTCGGTGGGTGGGTATGGATGGATGGATGGATGGATGGATTCCTGTATTGATATTATAAAAAGAAATATTAACATGGCTATGGCTAATATGTTGTTACTAACTACATTAACAACATGTTATCCATTTACTTGATTGAAAGAGCTTCTTTAAAGTTAATGGCACCTTTTCCCAGCGTTTCCAACTTTTACTATTCCATGAAAACTTATAAAGCCCTTAAAATTTAAACCTGATGGACCTCGATAAAAACACCCGATATGTTTTCTTATTGATATCAATTGATGTGTGATTCTGACTGATTTTCATAACAGCTTTAAGAAAGCCGAAAAAGATACAAAATTGCCTCAACATCATGAGAATAATAGATTTTCTTTCTGCAATAGAGGCTCACTCAAACACATTGACAGTATTTCTGCACATATTAGAGCAAAACGCTGTTTAACTGTATTTGTCAAGGCGAGGTGTGAGGGTACTTTGCTTAACAACTTAAAAGCTGTCTTAATATTTTGACTGGCATCACACAACCTGAGTCAGGACCAAAATAGCTCCGGATACCGTCCTCAGAAACCCCCATAAATACTCTCTCAAATAATCTTACTGAGCTGCCTACCTACAAATCTGCCAGTGTTGTAGCTTATTCAAATTTACCCACATGAATATTTCATTTTCATTTCAAACTGCTTTTCATCATAATTTCAGATTCCTTATTGTTGACGGAAATACAGCGTCAGAACCTCACTCTTACTTTGAAATGCATGCTGAGATAAATTTGCTAATAAAAGAGGTGAAGACTCTTGTGTGTGTTGTAATATTTACAGAAGTGCCATTTGAGACCTAATTAGATTGCATTTTTTTATACTACCCGGATTTGCTCCCAAGTATCCTGAAGTGCCAAAAAATAAAAGATAAAAAAATAGCCCAGTTTTTAAGCTACTTTGTCTGTCTTTCCTCCCAAAAGCCTTGGCAGAAGGCACAGGAGGGAGGCCTTGAAGCCAAGATGACAAGCACTGAACTGAGAGAATTAAAGAGAGGGAAGCTAGTAAATTTTTCATCGAAGTCTCAGACTGACCATGAAAAAGGTTTGACGCTGTCCTGGCTTCAAGAAGACCTCAGAGGCAGAGAGAAGGAGCGAGAAGAGTAGATTTCCCATTTCAATTAGCCACATACGGCTCAGAAACCTCACCCCATTGAATTCAAAGAGTTTGGAGCAACACAAGTGCCGTGGTTGGTAAATCTTACAGTTTCTGGCTCTTCAGATAGGTTTAAACTACTGTTCAAAGTTTATAGGAACTGCCAATTTTTACCAAATTGTCATTTCAGTAAAGGTACAGGTAGGGTACAGGCTGAAACCATTCAGTTTAATCCACATCCAGGAGAAACAAGGAGATGATATTCATTTGGCTAAAGTTCATTTTGGTTTTCCAAGAAGCTGGACAAGCCTGAACTACTCTGGGTATTGGATTGCTGGGAGATGAAAGAAGAAAAGGTATTGGACTGGGAGTAGGAGTGGTCTTTTTCCTGAAATGTATCTATTTCATAATTCCACACAGTCTGCATATTGCACGTTTCAGGTTTTTAGATGTATGCTTTGTCTCTCACTGTACATTTGTGTCTGCCACATAATCCCAATAAAATACTCATGTAGTCAACAAAAAATGTATGTGGCATATCTGAATAAGCATCAAAACATAAAAACTATGCATTCATTTGAAAACGAATCTCGCTTTCTCTGCAGTTAGCGATCGCATATTGTACATGTCAATGTTTGCAGAGTCGCTGCAGCGACAGTAACAGCGATGTGAGCCTTGTACTCCTTTGAGGTACCTCATGCAAGACTTTAGGAAAAACCAACAGCTTGTCACTCATTATTTATTGTAGCAACCAGAACAAGGGAACCCAGTTTCCACAGAGCGTATTCCTTGCCTTCCATCTGCTCTGACCTTTACATGCCCCCCCACACACAATCATTACATGCCTTCAACGATTGTGACGTACACAATAATTTCCGATTGTCTACTTCATCACAACTGAAGTAGACAAGTTGAATTAAAAAAAGAAAATCCTTACAGAACATTAGTATTGAGTGAGTTTTTGATGGGCAACTTAAATGCCACAATCTGGTACAGGCACATTCCAATATGTCTGTATGTTATTGACTAGAGCACAAAGCCTTGCAAATGACTTCCCCTCAGGGTTTTTGGAATGGCTTTTTTCCTCTTATTAAGACGCAAAATTCCCATGGCCAATCAATATGCTTTTTGTTTTCGACTGTTTGTTCCCTATTATCTCATCTCTTCTGCTGAGTAATGAGGCTGATCTCCTGAGGGCTCATGAGTGGTGGAGTGATTGTGCCACAGTGATTTAATCTCAGAAGCAAACGATAGAGTGAAAGTCACACCACCAGATCTGAGCAACGCTGCAGAAACCCAAAGTTTAACAGGCAGTTTCACACCTCTGTATTCACTGGGAACAGAGAGACATTTGCTGATAATATGCCCTGCTTTGTGTCTGTTATTGTTTTTATTGTGCAATTTGAATTTTAAAATCTGCAGAAAAGGCAAAAAAAAAAAATTTGAAAATAAAAAAATTCCATTGTCCTTTTTAGTTTTCACACCAAACTCAATAAGTGAAAAGACAGTTTCTCTCCGTACATAACCCTAAATGAGCTATGGTCAAAAATGCTAGGAATGTTTGAATACTGGGGCAAAAGGACGCTTAAAGCAGACCACTGCCTAAAATTCATTACATAAGAGCCAAACAAAGAGTCACACAGTGGAGGGTTATGGCTCGGGGTCGGTTGACAGCAGCATATGATTCATGGCTCGCTGTGCCCTTTTGTCGTGTCCTCCTTGTGGAGGGACCATCCACTGCTTTTAGCCAGTGTTATTTCACAGCCTTCAGAGTTTTGCTCTCTGTCTGATGCGAGTAAACCAGCAATGTCATTTTCAGTGTCTTCTTCTTTCCCGTCTGTGTGGGATTAAAGGAAGAATATGCGGCATGTCACGACATGAGATGCTCCTTTTTTACTCAGACTTGGGAACTTGCAAACAAACACTACCAAGGTCACTTTAGATTCACCTGTGGAGGTCTTTAATTATAGAAAATCTATTATATTTACCCAGAGTCACATTAAAGTAATACTACAGTAAATTTCAGCGCGAGTTACATTATCTTGCAAAAAATATAAGCCCCTTGATTTATTCATTTATTTATTTTACACATTTGGCCACATTTCAGTGTAAAGCAGAGGTCCTGCAATCTGTGGCTCCAAAGCTAAACATGACCTTTTAGCCCATTTACATTTTTACCCAAAAACAAATACTTTAATAATGCCAGAACAAGTCTTTTGTCATTAAACTATGATTAGTTTTACCTATTTTGCTATTTTCTGTCATTTTTCTGATGTAAAATAATAACTGAATTTTTTAAACAAATTTTTTAACAAATATTTGTGTTTAAGCCCCCTCAAATAAATATTTTTTGTACAACTGTCTTTTGTCTCAATTACATTTGCAAATGTTTATGGGTTTGTCTCTGGCACTTTTCACATATAGAGAATTAATTTGAGCAAAAACCAAAAAATAGATGAAGTTCAAATTCCCCTTCTGATTGTTTGGAGTGTCTTTGAAGAGAAATGTTGGTGTGTTTGTCCCTTTCCATAAATGAGTTTTCTCTGGGTACTAAGGCTTCCTTTCACAGTCCAAAAATAGAGAAAGAAAGTCTGTTAGGTTATTTAACTACTCTAAATCTCCGTTAGATTAGGGTTAGGGTTAGGTTTAGTGTGTGTAGGTTGTGTGTTTCTGTGTTGCCCTGTGAAGCACTGGTGACCAGGGTACCCTATCTCGGTTACTGACCCTTGGAGTTGGGCACCAGATGACTACTACTAATATTACTAAATGACCCCTTGAGGATAAGATGTAAAGATGGATGGATGATCGGACAGATGGATAGATAGAGGGGATTTTGATCATGTTACTTGCCCTCTACTACAACTTATAATATTAAGAGAAGCTAGTGTAATAAAAAATTTGAAAAAAGTAAATATATGATTTACTTTGTGAATAATTTTTCTTGCAGAATCTCGATGGCATGTCCAAACATAGCCCATATAACCTATGCACTTGCTTGTGGAATACATGCATACACATTGATCTCATTATAGAACCAAAACGTTTCTGGGCTGAAGCTGAAATCACATTACAGTAGAGAAGGGATGTTTTGTCTGCATGTAAGCGTTGCTGTCTTTGCAGAAAATCAAAATGGGCATGGGGTGGTGGTTGGGGGGCAAATCAATCGTCTGCTGACAGCAGCTGGAGGAACTAGTGGTCTCTCTGTTTGGCACTGTCAGCTCGCATGTGTCTTGTTAGTCCAAAGACAAAAACTAAAAAAAAAAAAAGCAACAGATTTACTACAGGTAAATCCGTAGAAGCTTCTTAGCTTGCTCTGGTAAGTTTAGTGAAGATAAACGGCATTTCTGGACTACTACAAAATATGAAATGGAAATTAGAAACATGTGACTATGTCTGACGTATCATGGACACACTGAGGTTTCCCAGTAATGATACAATGACTCATCAGTAGGTAAAAGATCAAAGGCAGGTTTGTCATTGTCTCGCCCACCTCATTGCCCTCTTCCATATATGGTTTGCAGGCACAGATGTCCACTGGGGAGTTCCCTTTCCTAGTGATGCCATTCATGGAGTGGTTGTTGACAATAGGAGCAATTGGCTTCCAAATATAGAGATGGGGGTCACACTACTTGGCCTCCAGGGCCTTTCTTCCTGGTATAAATGGTCTGACCATGACATCTCAACACCTCTGTTTTCATACTCAGAGTCCGGCCCTCACTCACTAATCTGGTGAGTATCAACATGACTGGCTCATACTAAATGATTATATATTTGTTTTTTGAGAGGGTTTTTTGTTATGAAAAAGTGGGTGATGGATTTTAATACAAAATAGCAGTGATTCCACTTTCAGTCAGCTTGTTTATGGTCTTCTGACTGCGCTGGATCATCCCGTTGTACTAACCTGAGGGCTGCAGGCTTTGAACTTTTAAAAGTCTGACAAATACAAGCCTTTTATGCACTAGTGTTTTTTTCAGTAGTCTACTATTGGTCCATCTCAACAAATCATATCATCGTCAAATGGTGGATTTTACAAGTAATTTTGATTTAAATGAAAAACTAATATTCTGTATAGCTTCATAAGGCAAAGACTGATTTTTAAGATGCTCAGTTCATTGTAATGAATATGTTTTATAGCTAAAATTTCAGTTTCTCAAAAAATGTGAACATTACATAAGATTTACAGATATTCTTACAATATGGAAATGTTTAATCTTATTTTGTTTTTCAGGTCTGGATTCAGAACAAATATGTTAAATCCAACGTTTTCTTTTTACAATAATAACTCTTTGTCCTTTGATGGCTATCTCTGATGAAAGTAGAGCTATAAATCACAAACATGGTTCTCTTCTGGTTGGCTAAATTGTGGCTACATGCTGCCTTTGCGTTTCAGAGTTGACAAGATGTGTGATGACGAAGAGACCACTGCTTTGGTGTGTGATAATGGGTCGGGTCTGGTGAAAGCCGGGTTTGCGGGAGATGATGCACCACGAGCCGTGTTTCCTTCCATCGTTGGTCGCCCACGTCACCAGGTAAAAAAAACTCAACGTATGTAAAGACAAAAAAAGTCATAACCTGAATAATTACACAACAGAAACTAGTAAAGTTGTGCAAAACAAGTTCATAATCCATGCATAGTTCTCATTTCTGTGCTCACACAATGAAGTGTGGTTTTGTTTCGCATCATGAGGACTCAAACACATCACTTCATATTTCTCATGTTTGTCATATTTAGGGAGTCATGGTTGGTATGGGCCAGAAGGACTCATATGTCGGAGATGAGGCCCAGAGCAAAAGAGGTATCCTGACCTTGAAGTATCCCATCGAGCACGGCATCATCACAAACTGGGACGACATGGAGAAGATCTGGCACCATGCGTTTTATAATGAGCTGCGAGTTGCCCCTGAGGAGCATCCCACCCTGCTCACAGAAGCCCCTCTCAACCCTAAGGCCAACAGAGAAAAGATGACTCAGATCATGTTTGAGACTTTCAATGTCCCTGCCATGTATGTGGCTATTCAGGCAGTGCTGTCACTGTATGCATCTGGGAGAACCACAGGTATGACTGAATTCTCAGCGATGCTGTTTATTCACAGAGACAGTGACACTTTGACATTAGAAATTTGGCTCATCTCCCAGGGCAGCATAACCTGGGGGACACTGTTGGCGCTGAAGCTCTCCTCGGCTATCTGACATTTAATTGTTTATTTCTACATCTTGTTAGATTGAACTGGGTGCACTCTTGTGCTGTGCTCAGTATACGCTCTGAAGGAGTATCACAACCAGTTGATAATCCTGATGTTGATATCCATTCTAAAACTTTTATTTCATTCTAAAAAAAACAAAACTAATTTTAGTGTTTCACATGGAATCTGGACAGCATTTCACAATTGCTGCTTCAACATTTAAAATATGTCCACTGAATAAACATGACATACAAACATATACACAACAGATGAAGATGGGTAAAAGATTAACGATCATTTAAAAGACAGATAATAATTTGTGAAATGAAATATGACTATGAACTTTTGTCATCGGTTGCAGGTATTGTCCTGGACTCTGGTGATGGTGTAACCCACAACGTACCGGTTTATGAAGGTTACGCTCTTCCTCATGCCATCATGCGTCTGGACTTGGCTGGTCGTGACCTCACAGACTATCTCATGAAGATCCTAACAGAGAGAGGATACTCTTTTGTCACAACTGGTGAGTCTCAATCCCCCCCCAAAAATGCACCAGATTGAATGGAAGACAACATGAGGCATCCTATTTAAACAGTCTTTTAAATGATCAATGTCTGCGTACCTGCAGCTGAGCGTGAGATTGTACGCGACATCAAGGAGAAGCTTTGCTACGTGGCTCTGGACTTTGAAAACGAGATGGCCACCGCAGCCTCCTCTTCATCCCTGGAGAAGAGTTACGAGCTGCCTGACGGCCAGGTCATCACCATTGGGAATGAACGTTTCCGTTGCCCAGAGACCCTCTTCCAGCCCTCCTTTATTGGTGTGTAAAGGTGCACTTAAACATCCAAACACCCATACTAATATCACCAACATGTTCTGTGATCAGCTGAATAGTGAACACACTGAGTGGCTTAGTAATAATAATTTAGAAATTGTAGAACTGGAAACTAGATACTAGATACTGTATTCAGAAACAGTGTTTGTAGTAAGAATTGGAAACCCCTTTTCTTCTACCCATACACAACCAAACACCCATTCCCATGGCAAGGCCACACCCCTTTCTCTCTCTACTCTGTTTTTCTTTCAAAAAAATGTCCAAGTAATCTGAAAATAAAAATGAATGATGAATGGACACCTTGATTTCAATACAGTTTTAGGAAAAAGATTTTACAAGTATCAAAATGTATTTAGAAACATCCATAATCTGTGCTTTTCACCCTCATGGCCAAAAATAGTTGAAAATGTTCTTTGTTAGTTTTCACAAAGAGGAAAAAAATCAGTCTTAAGCTGTGCTGAGATATATCTGGTTAGTGTTCATTTGACAAGTGACACGTTTAATTATGTAACATTTTGCAAAAGAGATTATTTCATCCTACTGCTTTCAAAAACACTAAAGTAGCTCTTTATTAAACTTTTTCTTTCTTTGCTTTCAAAGAAAGCAAAGAAAGGGGAGTGCCACAGGGGAGTGCTTATTCCCACAGACTGAAATGCAGCTGACTGGTTTGGACTACAGTCGTAGGCACCCCAAACAATGGTGCCCTGAGTAGAAAATGACATTTTCCACATCAAGGATCAGGAAGATGCAAAACATCTTTTTTTTTTTAAATTCACCTAAAGTCTGAGCTGGTGTGAGATTTGTTTACATGCCTACTTTTAAAGTGATTCTTCATTAGACACCTTGAAATGCTACATCTTAGTTTTTCAGAACTTTCCGTTCATAGGATATAGAGCATGGCTGTCTTCTGTTAAAGATCACAGGTTATCCACCTCAGATACGGCGTCTCATGACAATACAAGCAGCCATCCGGTCTATGTTTGCAACTGTTAGTGGAGCTATCCCATTCAGCACCTGTTCTGACAGCTGATGGTGGCATGTTTCTTGCAACACAGATGATTCCAAAATACACTCAGCTGTTTCCATTCACAGGCATGGAGTCTGCTGGTATTCATGAAACCACCTACAACAGCATCATGAAGTGTGACATCGACATTCGTAAGGACCTGTACGCAAACAACGTCCTCTCTGGTGGGACCACCATGTATCCTGGTATTGCTGACCGCATGCAGAAAGAGATCACTGCTCTGGCCCCCAGCACCATGAAAATCAAGGTAAGTCAACTCTCTGCAAAATGTCTCGCTATATATTACATTGGGCAGGTTTGCATCATCATAAACATGTTTTTGGTTTAGATTATTGCCCCCCTGAGAGGAAGTACTCTGTGTGGATTGGTGGCTCCATCCTCGCGTCTCTGTCCACCTTCCAGCAGATGTGGATCAGTAAGGATGAATATGATGAGGCCGGACCGTCTATAGTCCACAGGAAGTGCTTCTGAGGAACTAATTTTCTTTCTCTAAACACCCTCTATTATCTTCCCAGCAATTTATGTATCTTGTCAAAATCTATGTTTATGTATTTGGAATTTTTTGCAGGATATGTATATATTTCAAAATAAATCATTTTTCAGAATTTGTTTGTTTGTTTCTCTTTTTCTTGCTTGACCCTGGACAGCAGTGGCTCTCTGAGCTCTGTCCTTTCCTCACGTGATGGCCGCGTAAAGGTTATTGAAGATTTGAATTAGAAAAGATTACAGCGAGAGAAGAGGATCAGCCACCTCATGAGAAACATTCATTTAGTGACAACACTGGGTCACGTGACCCCTAACCCCGGATTGAACAAAGCAAATAAGAAACTGAACAATGGCAGCAATAATAATATTACTCCGAACAATAATAATGCTTAGAATTATGATTGCAGTTAATAATGCTGTTATTAATATCATAATATTTGTACTGTTATTACGTCTATTGTGATATGTGTCAAAATTCCAATTTAAAAAGAAGATTCCACATTAGTAATAGAATTGAATCTGAGATGAAAGTTGCTGGCATTTCAAAACTTTATGTATTTATGTATGTGCCACAAAATAAGAACATCATAGATTGTTTCAAATGGAGAGATGACATAACATGAGATTATGTTTTTCTTTTGAATTTAATTTTAGGGAGACTCATTGCATGAAATTAAGTTTTTCCATAGTTCAATTTATGTTTATTTTCAAACATTTGGCAGGTGCTTTGATCAAAAAGCCCCTTACAAATGGAAGTTTAACATGCAGCTTTTTACAAAGGTAGGCTGTCGAATCTTGATGGGCTTTAAATACCAGAGTTGACGGATGGTCCAACTAAACCTGCAGTGAAACGACAAGCGCTCTGTATGCACACTTCATTAGAGTGATCCCGGTGCAGCATGAGAAGTTGCAGTCTCTGGGTGTTATAAGTATCATATTTTGCTTCTATTTTCAGACTTCAGTGAGAGACGCAGAGAGGCAGAGAGGCAAGCAGGCCGCTTCATAAAGCGATTAACAACTCGGATGGTACTTTCACCCTGTCACTGTATCCACAGCGTCATCTTTGCTCGAGGTGAAAACAACAGCTCTGCCATCCGGGCCAACAGCCTGTGACATAGGGAGGGATACCTCTGGGCAAAAGAGGGAGCTGTTTTCTCTACCAGAAAGAGAGGAGAGGCTCCATTTAGCCGAGAGCTGACTCCATGGGTTCCAAATGTTGAGTAAAAATAGAACTATATGTATATATATATTTTTTTCTTCTTTTTTTGGGGAAATAATTTTTATATGAAAAGCTGGCCCACTGCATAAGCAAACTGAGCAAGAGCCTAATGCTGGAAAAACAGGAACAGGACCCCAAAATAACTTTCCCACCAGTTGATTTAAAAGTTTCATAGTAATTTAAAAGAAGAATTTTACAAACTTCTTTACATGTGTACTAGTTGCAAACATGAAGAGGACTTCTATATTTTGCTATAAATACATTGATGGCCATTACTTATTGCAGCAGCTTTTTTAACGGTGTATTTTGCTGCTTGCGTTCCTTTCTTTTTTGCACAAGTAACTCAAAGTCTTGATAAACAAATTCCCATTTACCGTAAACTGTTAACAAACAATCCTCCTTCCTGACTAATGACTTGAAACATAATTTATTTAGAGTTAAGACCACATTAAATCCTGTGCCAGCGATGCGGTGCCTTGTGCTGACAGCCTATATGTCATGAGTATTCAGCTATTTTTAGTCTCACGATAAAATACAGTTAGTGAAAATTAGACAACAAATTGTCCTGATCAAAGTTTGTTGCATGCCAGGGAAGGGAAACAGGATGCGGAAGAGTCTGCTCTGGTCAGATGAAGTAACAATTAACATCATAGTCCACAATGTGTGGTACAACACACTAACCTCACTATTCCAATGGTGACGCAAGGTGGTGGCAGCATCATGCTGTGAACATGTTTATTTTGAGAAGCTAGTTTAGCATGGATGGAGCTAAATATGGGGCAATCCTGGCTGAGAGCAAGTTAGATCAGAGGTCAAAGAATAGTTCAATGCATCTAAACACATTAATTAGGATGAAATAGTTTAGATTAAATTAAGTGTATATGTTAAAGCACAAGCAAGAATGGAAATTGGTGAAAATATTTCGATACTGAGGGTTTTTTTTAGATGTGTGAAGCTTGCAGAGACACACCTCCAAAAAACTGTAGCCTACAAAATACTGTTCCATTCGAGCTGAACACCAATACAAAACGCTCTTCAGATTTTTATTAGTTAAAAAAGAATGTTTAAAGCAATTCACACTAAGCAGCATGTTGATCAAAACAGAGTGGTTGCAGTTTCAGTAGCTCTGTGCAGACGATGAAGACTGTGCAACTCTTAACAAACCAGGTCAGAGCAGGATGTACAGAATCCTATCCAAAACCTTAAAAAACCTTAAAAAAGAACAAAAACAACAAAAGTCAGAACTCCTGGCTCTCCAGGTGGAGCTACACCGACTTGTCTTTGTGTATGTGAGGCATAGGAGGGGGTTGTGTGTGTGTGCCTGTGTGCGTGTGTATGTGTGTGTGTGGGGGGGGGTGTGCATACTACTTAAAGGAGGATTAACGGTGCAAGACATTAAATCCAACCTGCCTCCATCCAGACACAGCGCGCAGCCAATCAACCTGATCTGAAGATCGAAAATAGGAGGGCTTACAGTAATCAGCCCTCGGAGTCTCATGACAAGGAACAGTGTGGCAGCGTTGTGGGAGCGCTCGGCACGCACAGCAGGACCCTCACTGGCGCTGCGCTCTCAGCTCATAACCAACCAGATAGCGCGAAGAGAGACAGAAGGGGGGGACGGGGACGGTATAGGAGCATCCAGTGACGGATGCGTTTTTTAGCTGATTTTGGACGCTCTGGAGTGTAAGAACATCGGGAGACAGAGAGAGGCCGTGCGGGGAAATTAAGCCGGGTGCTTTTTTTTTTTTTTTTGGAGGGATTTGACCACAGTGCCCTTGTATCGTCGTCTCCTCCGGATGATCAGAAATGGGGGAATGGACTATACTAGAGAGGCTCCTGGAGGCTGCTGTCCAGCAGCACTCTACTATGATAGGAAGGTAAGATGATCTACAAAAACCAAGAACAAACCGAAGAAACGCAGCAGCCTCCAGGATCGTCTTTAGCATGGCACCCCAGTCCCCCGTTTCTGTGTTGTGGCTCCAGGATCGTCTGTACCGTGGTGTCCAGTGGTGCTTCGTGTCTGTGTTGTGGATTTTTCTTGTCTTGTTCCCCAGATCTTCTTCTTCTTCTTTTTTTTTTTTTTTTTTTTTGCTTCCTTTTTGTCTTCCTCCTAAACGAGACAGCTCAGCTCAGACGGCAGCTGTCTTTTAGGAACCTGGGAATGGTGCTGCAAAGTCAAAACAGCCTAAACTTAAAATTCATGTGTAGCCGTTTCATGTGATCATTCATCCGTTTATTCATTTGGTGGCTGGTCGTTGGAGTTCGAGTGGTGGTGATGCACTCGGAGGAGGGTGGTGAGAAAGAGACATAGCCTCATTTCATTAGCATGCTCACACAGGTACAATCACAGCAGCGTCGATTGCTGACGTGTCATGATCATTAAATCACAGCCACGGACGTTCATCGTAAGAAACGCATTTCTCCGAGAGCGTCCAGCTTCAGCACTGGACAACTCCTTAAACTGCAAACACAACAATGTTTGTGTTTGCTCCCCCATTGAACAAATAGTTAAGGTACATGTTCACACCGCTCTGCTTGTATTCTTGTAAGAAACACATTTATTATTTATTTATAATTCTTTTCGCAAAGCGTCCGTTTCAGCACTGGACAGCTCCCTCAATTCAATCCGAGCGCTCCCGCACAGCCAAAGGAACATCCGCACTGAACGCATAGTTCTGCACATAGTGGCACATGGTTGTGTTTGTTTCATTGCTTTGTAGGCTCACAAACACAGATATGAACTAAAAGAAGCACTTTTAAAAAATATATTATTATTGCCTGACAATGTACCAATGTTCCTAACTTAAAACCAGGCGCTCCTGATGCGGAATACCAACAACTCACACGCGTTTTCCAAAATGTTTTGTTTGCCTGGTTTCTGGGATCAAAAGACATGACGTTACGTTACATTTTAAGAAACTCCTCTCTTCTCTCGGAGGGGATCCTGCTTCGGCAGGGGTCAGATCCCTCACTTAAAGTCGTTTTCCGTCGTTGTGTTTGCTTTACGCTTTGCATTCCTGTAAAGACCAATTTCATGAACCAGAGCGCCCTGTTTCAGCCGCGGAGCGCTCCTGAGGTTAAATCCCAACCCCCATGCATCGAACACATTTAACGCACATATTTATTGATTTATTTTATACACATTTGATTTTTATTTTACATATCTTTGGTTTGCTTTCAACATATATTGTAAAGATCCTTTCTTTTTCCAAAACAAAACAACATAAACGCCCCGTTTCAGCACCGGGCAGCTCTCTTGGATCACATCCGAGCGCGTCCACACTAACCACGTTTACTGCACATATTTTTCACATTGTTGTGTTTGTTTTCTTTGCCTTTTTAGGATCCTACTAACAGTGGTGGTCATCTTCCGGATTCTAATCGTAGCGATAGTGGGAGAGACTGTCTATGACGACGAGCAGACCATGTTTGTTTGTAACACCTTGCAGCCGGGCTGCAACCAGGCATGCTACGACAAGGCATTCCCCATTTCACACATTAGATATTGGGTTTTTCAGATCATCATGGTGTGCACGCCCAGCCTCTGCTTTATCACGTACTCTGTGCACCAGTCGGCCAAGCAGAAGGAGCGGCGGTACTCCACGGTCTACCTGACGCTGGACAAGGATCAAGATTCTCTGAAACGAGACGAAAGCAAAAAGATAAAGAACACCATTGTGAACGGAGTACTGCAGAACACCGAGAACTCCACCAAAGAAGCCGAGCCGGACTGCTTGGAGGTGAAGGAGATCCCGAACTCGGCCATGAGGACTACAAAGTCCAAAATGAGGCGTCAGGAGGGCATCTCCAGGTTTTACATCATCCAGGTGGTGTTCAGAAACGCGCTGGAGATCGGCTTCCTGGTGGGCCAGTACTTCTTGTACGGGTTCAACGTCCCGTCCGTGTACGAATGCGACCGCTACCCCTGCATCAAAGACGTCGAGTGCTACGTGTCCAGGCCTACGGAGAAGACCGTGTTTCTGGTCTTCATGTTCGCGGTCAGCGGGTTCTGCGTGGTGCTGAACCTGGCCGAACTCAACCACCTGGGCTGGAGGAAAATCAAGACGGCGGTGCGGGGCGTGCAGGCCCGGCGGAAGTCCATATATGAGATCAGAAACAAGGACCTGCCGAGGATGAGCGTGCCCAACTTTGGCCGCACGCAGTCCAGTGACTCTGCATACGTGTAAAAAAAGAGAGATAAAATCAAATATATATATATAAAAATAATAATAAAAAAAACATTTAAAAAATTAACCCATGATGGACATGATGGACAGCTCCGCACGCCTAAAACCTGTGTCATGACTTTAAAGAGTGGGCAGATTTATTTACTTACTTTGTTTTCCGTTTTAATTTGGTGATATTTTATGGACTTCAAGACGAACGTGGATCCCACGTTGGCTTTACTTTGACTTGTTTTATTAACGCACTGATGCAACTTTTTAAGTAACGTTTCTACTTCAAACGTGGAGACCATGTTGACGTGTTCGCAGATTTAACTCTTTCTTGGGCTGAACTTGAAAAGAGCAAATGCAAAAGAAGAAGACGAAGAAGAAGAAAAAAACTTGCACTAAAAGAGGTGAACACATGAGAGCTTAATCGTATCCAAATGTGCTGAAATTCTTTTTACACCTATACTTCTTTCATATGGCACCATTAAACAGGGAAAATATAGCATATTCCTAGTATATATATATATATATATATATATATATATATATATATATATATATATATATATATATATATATCCTCTTACTGGTTAGCTAAAGTACATCAGCTTGGTCAACTCTTTTTTCTTGTTTGTTTTTTGTTGCCTGTGTTGCACCACTGACCTTAACATATGTAACATATGTAACCATTCCATTGCTTTATAGCTATAACTTGCATAATAGTATTCGGTGAATTTTGCTGCAAAAACGCTAACGTCTGTGAATTCCTTAATTTAAGACACACCAAAGCGCCCACTGCTTTTATTTGTGAGTGTTTCTTGTCTTGCTTTTCTTGTAATCAAGTGCCATACTTGTACATAGACATTATATAAATTCTAAATATATGTATACATATATATATATTTATATATATCTGCATATATAAATATATATAAATATATATAAATATCTGATGATAATAATTATTATGAAAGCTGATTCCTTGCTTGGATTATGCTCAATACTGGCCAATTTATTTTTGTTTGCTCCAAATGTATTTGTTGTGGTTTGACTGAAGAAATTAAGATATTCAGATTTTCTTTCCCTGTTTTTTATTTTTGGAAATGTCTGGGAAAAGAAATTAAGTGCTAGTCTTTTTTTTTTTTTTTTTTTAAATAATAATACTACTGATAATAACAAGACTCCCTCCAATCACTTCTGGTCAAATCTGAAAAGAAAAGCACAAAGTTGAATTTTCGTCAATGAATGGGCAATCACAATCTGCTCTGGTGCTACAGTGTTTCATAGAATGGTTTTAAATGTAACCTTCTGAACCAGAAAGAAGAAGAAGAAAAAAACAACACAAACCTCTTTTTTTCTGTGGAAAATAAAAATGGGATTCGTGTACACCAGAAACGTGTGCGGTGCGGTACTTTGTGTTCCCTGCTGTGGCTTCTTTTCATCACAGAGGTATCCGGTACAAGTTGTGTCTTGCTGCAGTGAAGATGTTAGCCACACCCACTACTGCAGGACACACCTGGTGCAGAATCTCACCATTCTGCAATGTGTTGCAATTCTAGTGCTGCTTCCTTGAGACACATCAATACTTTTGCTCTGAGATAACACAGCATGCATTAAACCAGCGCAAGCCCTTAAATGTATATTCACAGGCTGTTAGAGTGACATTAATGTGCTCTACTCTACAGGGATAACAAACAGCTAACCATGCCTCTGAATACGTGCACTTTGCTCATCCCATCCTCTTTAGTTTGACAAAGGAGGCAGCCAGAACAAAAGGAGGAGGAGAGGGCGTTGTGCTACTTGTGAAGGTCAGAAACAAAAGATGGGGAAAAATAATAAGACACAAAGTGTTCAGCTGTACAACCACAAAAAAAAGGAAGGGGGGAGATGTGAGAAAGAAATGAAGACCTTTGGAGATGAAATTAAAAATCTGAAGCCGTTGATAGTTGTTCTGGGGGAAGGACGGCATCTCTACGCTGCCTCGCTGCCCACCCCTCCCCACCCGCCTCGCAGAGATGACTCTGCAAAGCTGGGAGAAATCAAAGCGCAGCTGTACCTGCACATCCATCTCCAACTCAGCAGGGAACAGGGATTTTGTCGTGAACTCAAAAAGAAAAGAAGACGAAAGCAGTCCTATTAATCATTAGCAATGAAGTCAACAGCTTATGGTGGGATGCAGAAGAACAAAAGTACAGTTTGAAGAATAATACGTTACTCTCACAAAATTAGGTTGTTAATCCGGAGCGCAACCAGAATGTTCTTGTTGTAGTTCTTGTATTCTCAGGCTTTTTCTCTGAAACACTCAAATGGATTCAAGCTGTAGCAAAATTGTTGGGACATTTTCTGAAACCAGTTATGCATCCTAATGAATTTGCATTACGTAGAAATCAAGAGATCAAACAAAGACTCTGATCACATTATGTACATAGACATTATTTCTAAAATGAAACTTTTTTTTTTCTGAATGCCTTGTAAACGTTAATCACTGCAGTACAAAAGGGCTGGAAACAATTTTGATATGACAAGATGAAAATGACAGGCAAGAAGCCTACAGACCCTCTTCCCAGTTTGGGTTTTCTTAAGTCAATTTATATTTTACAGGTCAAAACAGGTTAAAAATCAACACATTAAAAGAGAGGTGTCCCCATTATTATGTGGTGTATAAAAGAAAAGTACCTTGTTCTATTGTTCACATTCTGAATAGGAGTATTCAGAATGTGAACAATAGTTATAACAATGCCAGCTTTAATTCATGTAAGTAAGAATAAATGTGCAGCACATGAAAGTCAGGCAACTCCGATTTCTGACCGATTAGCAAATTCGAAGAAGTGTTGTGGAATCAAATTACAAATGCAAGCTATCATATTGGAATATTAAAACCTATAAAGTATTTATATTGTGTTTTAAATGCATTGAAAGTTTAATTTAAAAAAAGGCACCAAAATAAGCATAAAACGGGGACAAACCTTAAAAATGTCACCTAAGATGCTCCAGATGCCCTATCACTAAAAATAAAGGTCTCTTGTCTGACTTTCAGGAAGGTGTAAGGTTATTTTCCGGTCAGTAGAGATCAAAGCCAAGAGTAGGACTATCAGCTTTTAAGTTTCAAAAATATAATCTGACAGGTGTTGGTTTGAAGAGTCTGAAGCAGCAAAATAAGCAGAATTTTGAAAGATGAGGCACAGTAAGCAAAAAACAAAACAATAAACAGACAGACTGCATCTGCATTTGTGTTTTATTTAAAATCCACTGTTTTCTTATTTTCTATTAAATATGTGTATTTATGGCAGTGCAGTAGCTTCCTTTTTTCTTTTTTTAGCACAAATGTAACCCCCAGCCACTTACATCTGTTGGAAATACCTGAGAATACATTAAAGGTTTCCACTTGGAGTTTAATTAAGTGATTCTACCATAGTAAGGTCTATTGGCTGTTGAGCATGACTAGGTCAAAATAAGATTCATACCATATTAAGAGAAAAATGAATAAATATATAAAGTGCACAATGTATGACACAGCAAGCGTCAGAGAGTTTACCTCCAGAATGTAGGTTTTCCAGAAGTGAGCCAAAAGCACTTTGACTACACCATACCCCTAGGTAAATATTTTGTGAACTGCTGAAACTTTAAGTTGAAAATTTCAGCCCAGTAGTGAAGAATGGTGACAGGAGCATAATGATTTAGAGCAGCCTCTGGATCTTTACAGCTGGCCTTCGACGAGGGGGAAATAAATTCCAAACATTGTTGACAGAATTTCATCCGGATGGTGGTCTTGTGGGAGTAGGTGAAAGTAAATCTGTTGCAGAATGGCTTCAAACAAAGTCCAGGCCAACACACACAAAAAAAACTACGAAATAAATATTAGTACAGAAAATGCAGCAAAAGAGGTAACATATTCAAGAAAGGCAAAACCAGCCATATACATCACAAAGGAAACCTAAAAAATCAGCTCAAGCTGTCTGATCAATTTGTGTATTTGTTATAGAAACTCGGAAGACGGACGACTAAGCTTAACAAATAACATCAAGTCCCTTTTGTTCCTTTCAGGACAGACTTGAGAGCAGGTCATGACACACTGGGATAAACTAGTCTCTTCTGGTGTGTAGCAGATAGAGGAGCCAGCTGTTTTTTTTAGGGTGACAAATCTCTTTTAGAGCAGTACAGTGGGAAGCTGGTCAGGATGCTTACTTCACTGCTACAAGGTCGTCAGTTGTACTTTATGTATGGAAAGTTTACATTTCCATTGGTTACATTACATATTCTTTTCCTCAGGATACTCCAGATTCTTTTCTCAGGCCCGAATTCACTGGGGATCCATTTGCCTTCAGGGTGTAAGCACCGTTACATGTCGGCATTCACTGATGACCTGTCCAGGCTTGTTCACATTTTGTCAGAATATAATCACAAATTGCAATGTATTTTGGGGACAAGTGATGTCATTGACCAGCCAAATTAATATATGATCTTGCGATGGAAGGATTGGCTGGTTGGAAAAGATAGTCTTCAAAAGTGTAAGATAAATGTTATGTATTTGTATTCAGACATGTTTAATATGATACCCCAAATTAAAATTTTGTCCAACCAGTTATGTTCAGAAGTCACCCAACTCTTCTACCAAATCCCTAAATTCAGCTGTTCTGTGAAGCTGCTGATGTCAGGACATCTGCTAGAAATGCGCTCCACAACTCTGGCCTTGTAGAACCATGAACACAATGAAGGGCAGGAAAAGAATGCAAAGATACAAATTTTGTTGATAAGTTGTCATCAAAAGGCGTCATGTTTGGTTGGTAAATACAACACCTTTTGACAAGAAGCAACGTGCAGAGAAATGTCAAGGTTTTCAACTGAGAACTACATCGCAAAAAAATTGTTGTGTCGTATAGGACTCGAAAATTTTACAAATCAAGATTCAATTAATTCATTCCATTCATCTCACTTGTGCTTCTAAAAAGTATTATATTAATATTTCTGCACAGAACCAAGCTTGTTTAAACTGTTACTGTTTTTGCACATACTTTCTCCTTGAAACCTTCAGAAGTTTCACCTGACAGTTCATCCAGCAATCCCTTTGCAGCACAGTAGGCATATCATTCCTGTTTTCCCTCTTTCACCTGCTCTCTAATCTTAACAGAGAGGGCTTCCTTCAGGGGGAGCCCCGCTTTAATTCAGCCTTTTGCACAGATTACAGCTTGAAAGGGGAAAAGCAAAAAAAAAAAAAGAAGAAGAAGAAAAGGAAAACCAGCAAACTATGGGTCTTTTTGATCCACCCAGCCGGAAGGAATGAAATTAGTTTGTTTATGGTAAGACGTATGCACAGAATGGCGTTGTACAGAAAGATATGGCAAACACTGAAACAAAACGCACTTGATGTTTGAGAACTTGTGGGGGAGGACACAGAAACACATTTACAGTGGAAGCAAGTTTCAACCTCTGTCTGCCAGGGTAGCTGTAAAATAGACCCTTTATCTGAAGCCACAATTACTCTCTTCCTTCTCACCACTGTGCTTCAAA